TGAGACCCCAGAGAAATAGGCGAGAAGTGTCTTGAGGAAGATCTTCTGACCCTTCTGACCCAAGGTCAGCTAGTGATCTGGAACTTCTAGAGGGCTAGGTAGTGATTTGTATTGTACAGTGCACAAGGCAGAATCTGCACACACAGAGAGGCCAAAAAAGGGAGACCGTCAACTTGAAGCAGATGCGGACTTATCGAACTCGTGATTTTGATCTTCTTGGGCACGTCCAGGATGGCAGGATGTTGTCTCCATGGTTCCTTGGTTGACACGGCTTTATTATTTGTTTGTTTCTTTTCACTGCTCTCATTACAAAAATACGGGGATCAGTTCCTGAACCTCGCTCGATAAACGGGTCGAGAAGATGCTCGGGGCAGAGGAGAATGGGGGAATACATAGCATCGTTGTATCGCCCTGCCTCCCTGGTTATCTTTTAGCCTCTCTGTTCCCTTCCCCGGACGACGACGACGTTTGGTGCAAGACCCAGCCCAGCCCAGCTCCCTAGACCTACGCCTAGACTTAGACCTTGACCTTCAAGATTGCCTTTCCGAAATTCTGGCCTTTCAAGATGCCGACAAAGGCCTCGGCGGCGTTCTCAATGCCCACGTCCTCGTGGATTTTTGCCTTGAAGGCCCCGTCTTTCAACCACTTTGTCACGTTCTCGACGTGCTCCTTGTCATACTTGGGGCCCATGTTGGCGTCGAAGACCATGAAGCCCGTCAGGGTCAGCCGTTTTATCACGCACTGGAACATGTTGCGGATCGGGTAGCGTTCTTCGGGCGGCAGGTTGTACTGTGAGATCTGGCCACATGCTACGATCCTGTGGTGGTGGGGATATGGGTCAGTCAAATGCCATGTCCAGGAACCATGAGGCGATCTGGATGAATGAGGCAAGAGAAAAGGGGGCGAGGTGAGCGGGAGAGAGGACGAGGGAGATGAAAATATAGGGATTGATTGAACAGAGTCAGTGATGAGACAGAACTTACCGGCCGAAAAGGTTCAATGTGTCAATTGCTCCCGACAACTGCTCGCCGCCGACATTGTCATAGAAGATATCGATGCCACCTTCTCCATTGTCCGGGAATTCTGGCAGCTTCTCCCCCTTCTTCGCCTTATGTTCCCGGACCAAGCGCTGGATCACGTCCTTGGTGCTGGGCTCTTTCTTGTAGTTCCAACCCCCATCAAATCCGAGCTCATTGATGATGAAGTCTAACTTGTCGTCGCTGCCCACAGATCCAAAGACAGTCAAACCATCGTGCTTGGCCAGCTGACCGACCAATTGACCCACGGCTCCAGCGGCAGAGGATACCACAATGATCTCTCCAGGTTTGGGCTTACCAATTTCGTACAGAGATGCATAGGCCGTGAGCCCCGGCATGCCCAGAGCCCCCAGATAATGCCTGAGGTCGAGACCGGGATCGTCCGGATTGGGCACCTTAAACGGTTGTTCGGATTGCGGCCCGACCACATACAGATTGTATTGCTGGATTGGGAGCAACAACCTCACCACGTCTCCCTCGGCAAAGCCCTCGAGACTGGAGCGAAGAACCCGTGACAAATTTCCCGCGGTTATGGCCGTACCAAAGGGAATGGCGGGCAGGTATGATTTAACCGAGGGATCACGCAATAAGCCGCGCAGGTACGGGTCGAAGCTCACATAGAGCGTCTCCAGAACGAGCGCATTTGGAGGCAGCTTCTGGTCCAGGTCAAAAGGGCCGACATCTTTAACCGCAATGTGTTCACCAGGAACCGGGAGACGGTCGGGGACTTTGTTGAAGACTAGAGCAAGATTTTTGGTGTTGGAGGGCATCTTCACAAGCGCACTTTGGATCGATGGACCAACGGTCGAACTGTTGAGCGCAGGAAGGTCAAGAAGACCGGGAGGGTATCAAGAAGAAATATGTATGAATAACAACGGTGAAAGCTCGTGGTTGAAGATCATGGAAGGGCGAAGGTGGGAAGGGAACCGATATCACAGTATTTACATATCAGAACAACACTCCTCCCCAATAGCGTATATACTTCATGTACTTCGTATTCCCTAGCTTCGAACCATTCATTTGTCATATGCCCATGTCGATTCTTCTTTCTTCTACCTGTTACTTCGTGGATCGTTGATGACGCAAAAAAGAGACATCCAGACCATCACCAGTAGGCGGGGCATTTTCGTCCGAACGGCGCTTGGCAAGTTCAATGGATGGAGGGGGACGGACGGCGGAAATGGAGTAGGTGACAAAACAATCGAAATGGCAGCGTTCGTCCAGGAGATACATCGTACCTAGGTATCTGGGGAACCGGTCAAGAATACAGGATCGCAAGTCCATTACTGCCAGGCGAACGTCATGTTGGGAGAAATAGAGGCGCTCGTATGCCAGACTGGTGGAAAACGCGCGGATCAGACTGCATTGCGATGGACTTGTATTTGATTCGTCGGGTTTATGTGTGAAGCCTGGCTGGATGCACCGAGATGCTGGAGGGGAGCATGGTCTCGTTACAGATTTGTCGCAGTATGCACATCTATATTATACACGCATCTCTTAGAGCTGTGACCAGCAGCTGGTCGTAACGCGACCGAGTGGCCGGTCATACTTGGTGGCGGTGCGGCAGATTTCGCTCTGGGTGATACGAGCTCGTGGTGTAGCATGTGCTCAAGTTGGTCTCGTCCGTACCCCGTCGTGTCCGAGCACAAATCTCTCTGAGAACCATCGAGGCACGCTCCCTTCACTGTCGCGTGGTTTTGCCCCGGTCATAGGGAGGCAGGAAATATTGTCACTTCGGCCGTGACTCGACCCAGAATGCTGAGTATCTAGCCCTGACGGCATCGCGTACTGGACTGCCCGGTCCCAGTCTGTGAGACGCTCATAAGGACTTCGCAGCCAAGCTTCCAATTCATGCAAGAACAGTCGAGCGTTGTCACGGCCCAGAAAGTCTTTCAGTAATTCCTCTGCTTGCCCAGCACTGCCTTTGAGATCAATCGACTTCAATATTCCAATGATGTATTCCAGCAAGAAGTCCGCATTACTGGCGCGGCGGTCGGTGGATCCGGGACGTGAAGATTGGGGGGCGTCAGGATTGAGGAAACCGAATACTTGAAGTTCACGCCTGATCCACATGCGGGCTCGGGAATTCAAACGCTCATCTGTTGCGAAAGACGCGGGCGTCAAATTCCGGTATCGCGAGATGCGATTTGTGCCAACGTGGAGAGAGTAGAGTCTCTGACGGTACACCTGTTTGCGAAAGTCTAGCGCGCTATCCTTCGACGCTTCGGGACGTGCTGCTCTTGCAGTATGGTAGTGCCCTCCTCTTGCATATGCCCGAGCTTGTCTGAATCGTCGTTGTCGAGCGGCGGAAGCGGCGTCAAAACGAGTCGTGCTTCGACCGTCCGGGGGACATTCGGGTTGGAGATGGAAGACTTGACCCCTCTGTTCATCGCCGTCGCGGATGTTGAATCTAATCGCTGTGACTTGACATTTGCACAGTGGACAAACCTGCTGCCGCTGCAGCCATGTTCCCAAGCATGTAAAATCAAACTGGTTGTGGTGGCAGGGTAGAGCAATGGCTTGGTCAGAGATGTGGTCTAAGCAGATGACACATTGCTCTGGTGGAGGAACTGTGCCCTCTGGAAGAGTGAGTAGTGCTGCATTTGAGCCCACAGGCTCCTTGGGATCCAGTGTTATCTCATGTTCTGCGGATTCTGTTGCCATCAAGTGGTGCAAGAGAAAAAGAAAGAGAGAAATGATACCACCGCCACTGTGGTTGTAAGTGGCGTAGAAATCGCTGCAGGCACTTGCTGTTGAAGGATCATCTGCTCCACCGAAATTTCAAATGACGCATATCAAAAAAGGGGCCAAGCCTTGTGCCTACACGACTCGACGAGTTATCCATGGATCACTCCTTCATGTTAGTATTCTCAAAGGTGAATCTTTTACATCCTAGATTCTCTTGCTGTTTCATGATACAAGACTAACCTCTCAGAGATCCCTTTGTCTTGAACCCCATTCCCCCCTACCTTAGTATCAAACCAATAACATTTGCTCTCAAATTAGGCTAAAGGGCACCTTGGCAACAATATCTGTCAACAAAAAGAGCCTTATCACACGAATATACCTTCCCCTAAGTCTGGGGAGTTCACTTCCCGCTGCTGGTGCTTCGGGGCTGCCGTCGGGTAGGCAGATCAGTCCGTAATATAACAAGAAGAGCCTCTGAGCCCATACTAGTGCCATGCCTTCCATCCTCTCAGTCACTATCCAATCCGCCATTCTCAAGGCCGCCGCAAATTTCACAGCCCAAACGCTCACTCTGTGGAACGTGCAGTCCCTTGACTCAGTGAACTGGACCCGCGTTGTTGAGTTTGCGGTATTTGGTATTGTGTCCGCGCCGCTGGCATCAGTGTGGCAGCAATTTCTCGAGGATAGTTTTCCCAGCGTAACGAATGTCAGCTTGGCACACCCAGATTCTGACCTGTTAAATGACTCCTCCGAGGAACCCGTCGCGGCCGAAGAAAAGGCGAAATCAACAGCAGAACTCAATTGGCGAAATACTTTGACAAAGCTGATTCTGGATCAAACAGTCGGCCAGTTCGTCATCAACCTCACGTTTTTGACCTGCACAAACATTGCACAGCTTCAGAGCTGGCACTCGCTCCTCGAAGAGTTTCAGACGCGCATCTTCAGTATCATCTGGGCGAGTTGGAAGGTGTGGCCATGCGTGGCTCTGATCAACTTCATATGGGTTCCAGTCCAATGGAGAGTGTCTGTAATTTCGTTGGTCGGCTTCTGCTGGAACATCTTTCTGAGCACCTGGTCAATGCATGACAAGCCATAGACAAAGTTATCGCTCCAAATAACGAAAAGAATGCTATTGTCTAAATGCTAAAAGGCTTGTAGTCCTCAAATCCACCGCAGAGCTATTCCAGCCCTCGTCTATTTCTTTTCATGAGAAGGTTTCCCAACACATTTCATTTTCCAGGCTCTTGCAGAGGCACCCAATGAGTGGCATGATATTCATTTGGAAGAACCCGACGTGAGTGGGATCGAAGCGCCTCGACTGTGTTGGCGCGGATGTCGAACCCTCCGTGCCTGGGCCCGAGCATCCAGTCCGTGGTCGCTCAATATATTGCGCGTCACAAACGCAACGGCCAGCAGACACAAAGCTGCGATGAGTTGTGCCAAGAATGTGAAGACGAATCTCACAGCAAATGTGCCCGTAAAGGGACTCAGCGACTGCGCATGCTTAAAAGCGTACACGACGCTGTAGATTGCTCTCACTCCAATGAAGATGCATGCCAGAATCATCAGAGATGCAGCAGCTCGGTGTTTTCGAAGCCTGAGGTAAAGTTGACCGCAGAGGAACGAGACTGTAATCCATGTGATCAGGAGGATTACGGCACCAGCTTCAAGGAATGTATAGGCCGAGTCAACGTCTGCTTGGCTGTTGAGGTCACCCCCGAGCTTCGCTCCACCAGTCGCGAGGAGTGCAATGCCAGTGATTGCGCCAACATGGATAGCCACCTCTTGAACCAAAGTTGTAAGCTGACTGCTGTTCGACGTTGCGTAGTAGCCCTTTAATAAAGCCAGAAAGCCAGCAGTAGCAATCAGCAAAGGACTAAGGCCAATGGAGGAAACGATTGCCCCAGACGTAGAAGGGTGTGGATCGTTATGACTGCCGATTTGAATGCCTGAGGCGACAATGCGAAGTATCTCGAAGGCAGCGAGGAAGAAAAATGCTGCAAGTGAGCGTCGACCATGTCTGTAGAACAGCAACCCAGTGGGGAGGAGGAGAGGGATGTAAATTGACATCTCTGCGATTGAGAGTTTCGTCACTGCATCGAGCGCCATGGTTGGACTCTTGTAGATTGTTCAGCACAGTACGTTTTGTGATTGTGGGAAGGACGGCTGTTTTCACGGGCCACGTTCGTGTCAATTGCAACCTGAGTGCATTTGGAGATACTCTGGACCGAGAGATCTCAAGACTCTTATAGCTGTAAACACTTGCCTCGGATTTCCATCATAGCAGACCATGGCCTACGAATCGATAGCCAAAGAGGGCACCGGGGGTGCAGCCGCTAACCAAAAGAGGCATTCCATTCGAAGCGAATGCGATATTTGGCGCATTTCACGAGCGTCGATCTGAATGCGGATCGCGTTGTGGAGGCGAACCACTGGATCAATCCCAGGCAGCACTATTTACATGCATGCGATGGAGACGAGAGCAGATGCGACGTTGTAGGCTGCAGTATCATATTGCACTCGTTGGGTACGAGGGTTTCGCAATCGCCCATCACATCGCCCTGCCATCGAATTGATGACCAGAAAGAGAATAGTGGTTGGAAGGGAATGGACAAGCTCAGCTAAGCTTTGCGGAGCATTCATCTCCTGCGATTGGCCAATGACCAACTTGATAATTATGTCAGCCTAGGGAGGGTATCAGCGCCATGTTCAGCCGCGCGTTTCCCTGGAAGGCAGTGCTTGTTCTGTGGCCATAGAGGCATCTTCATCCCTGATGTCACAAAATGGCCGAGGACACCAAGATGAGGGAGGTGTTTTCTCCAGCTTTGCGTCCGAGTTTGACCTGTGGTCGCAATATAAGGCAGGTGGACAGCACGATGGGCATAAAGCAGATTTACAGTAGGCTAACAAACAGAACAGAAAGGATAGGCATTCGAAGACTCGCGGTAAGAAAGGCGGCAATCTATCCGATTGAACGTGGACTTTTTCGGTCGTCTGCTGGACATCAAATCTCGATGTGTTCGCTATCCAAACAAGCCATGCGTTGCTAGCCCATGCCGATATCGATGCCCATCTGCATGCCGAATGCCGTGCCTCATTGAAGAATAGTTTCGGTTGCTGAAGGAAATCACTTAAAACGCTCACATATCCAGGGTATCATACATAGCACACTCTGATCACTGTAATTCTCAAATAGAAACCCATTGCCACGTTACATAACAGCCTGTCATTTTCAGAGAGTCAGCCACGAACGTAATCAAGGCAAAACGGGTTAGGGGCCAATGTCTTCCTGAGAGCGGGAGAATCCCACTCATTTTGGGTGCAGAAAAACAGGTTCTAAAATCACTTACACATTCGCTCTTATCCTTCCCCGGGGGAACGCCCATCTCATCGAATGTCTTGGGCCCCTTCCCGGGAGGTCGTGCCGCATTTGCTGGAACAGTACTCGGTTTAGAAGGTGGTCCCCCACCAATGGGTGCACTCGCATCGGGTTTGGAAGGTGGGAGATTTGCAGGCTTGACATTCGGTGGTACTTGTACTTGATTGTTGGGAGGCCGGACATTGGAGTTGGGCATGCCACTGTATCCACCAGCATTGTGACCTGGACGACCTTGCGAGGGAGGGCCTTGTTGAAGTCTTGGGGACCCACGTGGAGGGTTGTTAGGGTTCGGCAGGGGAGGCCCATTTGGCTGTTGTTGCTGAGGTCGAGGTCGTCTCTCTGGCTCGAGAGGAGCGGAAAAGCCAATGTCAATCTTTGCGGGTGGTGACTGACCTCCTGGCTGCGGCCCTGGCCCAAGGTACGGTGAGGAGCTGTTGGGTCTTGATGGTGGCCTGATAGTAGGAATTCCTTGGCCCTGAGGCGGGGGTCCTCCTGATGGCATGCGTCCTCCACGGCCATACCCAGGACCAGGGTAACCGGGCCCTCCAGGGTTAGAATAAGGCCGCTGCTGAGGCATGTTAGATGGGGGAGAGCCATATGGATCAGGTCTTGGGGCTCCCATGGCCGCGGCCGAGGTTGGTCGAAGGTTGGGGTTTATGCCAAAGGCCGATGGGGGTCGAATATCCGGACCTTGATTCACAGACGGCATATTCGGGGGACCAGTGGGGTAAGGGGCCGCGCTGCCAGGCCTGGCTGGAGGCGCTCTCTGGCTGTTGAGCGACAATCGAGAAGGATCCGGCATTTCGAGCTGTTCAGCCTCAGCCTCTTCTGACAAAGTTGGCATCGCGGGAACTGAAGGCACATCGGTTCCTCCGATCATCGAGCCACGTTGCTGCCGGATCTTCTTAAGTGCGACACTTTCATGGTCTTTTCGAGAGAGGGTCTTTGACCTAGAGATAGCATCGATCCTTCCTGTAGCATCTTGATTACCGCTTTGTGATGCCTTGCGATACCACTCCTTGGCCTGCTCGAAATTCACCGGGACGTATATGCCGACCTCATAGTAATAGCCTAACGCAAATTGGGCTGTCGGAAACCCAGACAGAGCTGCTCTCTGCGCATACGTAAAGGCGACTTCCTCATTCTTCTCGAAAAGACCCTCGTGGCCACAAAGAAACCACTTGCTGATGGCCAATTCTGCTTCCGGTTCACCCTGTCTTGCGGCGAGGACATTGTAATGCAAGGACAAAGCAGGATCAAAGGAGCAGCCCAACTCACAAAGCTCATATGCTGCCCCCATCTTCACTTGGGCTTTGGCAAATCCCAGGTACGCAGCCTTTTCGATGTTCATCTTGGCTCCAGCAATATCCCTGGGCAAAAATTGATCCGGAATCTGGATTTGTGGCATCTGTTGCGCTTGGAGCATGCCAAAGACATAGGCGCCTTGCGGTGCGTTTTCATCTGCTGTCTGGGCCGACATATATATGAGGTTGAGACCACGTTCGAAGTTCTGTGGCTGTCCATGCTGGCCAAGGAGTGTCATCATTCCTAGCCTGTAGCAGGCGGCTGAATCTCCAGCATCCGCGCCTTTCTGATAGTACCGAATTGCCTTCAATGCATCGTTTGAAGATTCGAACTGCATTCCAATGCGGTAGTCCGCACGAACATACCCTTTCTCCGCAGCTCTTGTGTAGCAATAGAATGCTTCTTTCTTGTCAACCCTGTGTCCGAATTTGCCAAATTCAAGCCACATGCCCCTCATGAACTCGGCCTTGGGATGGTGTTGATCGGCAAGAAAGCTGACGATCTTGATAGCGTCTTCCCTAAGGACGTGCTCAATGCGAGGCGTCCTTGTTCGGGGTGCTTGTGCCAGAGCGACTCTTTCCTCATTTTGGAGGCATATCTCAACGTATGATAACGCGTCTTGTGCCCACGTCAGCTGGGTATCAGGGTCATTGCAGTTGAGCACAGCAGCCCTTGCGGCTTCTAGTGTGGCCTCTTTCTGTTCATCGGTCGGCGGTATGTTGGGAGGAGGGTTGCGGAGCATAGGAAACGGAGAAAAGTTTGGCTGTTCCGTCGGGGCCATCGAGGTCGTTCTGGCGGGGAAAAGGTTATCTTGCCTGTATGCTTCGGTTTGGTTGTCCTGGAGCGCCCTCTGATCATACCCTTGGACGTTCGTGTGAGGGGCTTGTGGCGGCGCCCATGATTGCGTGCCACCCTGCATATATTCGGCGGACTGGGGAGAGTAGACTGATCCTGAGTAGGCAGAATTCGCAGAGGTGGGATTTGAGGCAGCTTGCTCCATCTGAGCCACATTATGTTGTATGTTGTTTGGCAGCTCATGTACTCTGTAGCGCTTAGCAGTGATCGGCGGCGACGTCAGTCCAGCAGTCGTACATACCTGTTTGGTGTTGGCTGTATAATTTCTGGCATGTAGTAAGAATCATCTCCCCCAGGGACGAAAGTGGCGCCCGTGTGATAACTCATGGTGATGATCCAAGGGCGATCTGAGGTGTTCAGCGTTTCGTATTCTCAGCTGAATCCGAGCCCGAGGTGTCTTCCTCCTGAGCACCTGGCAGCTTTTAGATTGATTTTTCTTCGAAAGGTATGAGGCCAGAATCCGTCCCACTCCCGCAAAGGAAGCGGAGGGGATAATGATATGTTCAGCCGGGCGTTCAGGAGATTGCCCTGGTGCTTACACAGTCAGGGTGTACGAGTATGTTGGATTCTTAGGTCACAGGGTGGGGTCCAGAAGGAAGTAGATCAATGGAGCACAATTTCGCAACGCTGGTTCCTTTGTAGACATGTCTTGGAGGGCACTGGAAGGGCAAAGTAGGAATATGAACCTGGCCTGGAAGGCCGCATCAATCACAGCCGAGCCTTGTCTGTGCACTTGTGGAAGTTTAGTTGATACAGACGATGGACAGAATAGTGGGAAGGCGCAGGCAGGGCGAGGCTGCGGTAATTGGCGTTGCGCGCTGCGAGATGAGAGGCAGCTGGCCGATCCTACCCGCCTAGGCATCCGTAGGCGCTACCTTAGGTACTTACTTGGGTGCTCTTAGGGACTCGTAGGCACACAGCAGAGGCTCAACAGGCTCGGCTAAGAGGAGACCCTGGGTGGGAATACGCCCCCAGGCGAATAAAGTTGAGGTCAACAGGCGTCTAGGGCCCAGCTGGCGCCGCTAGGCTTTAAGGATCAGTCGCAGCCCTGCACTGCCACAACAAAGTCATATCCCCTTCGTACCGGGTACAATTTTGGCAACGAGATTTTGTCCCCTGACAATTCTCAAAATCGGGGCCTTCATTCCTTTGCATACGACGAGCCGTTCCTTCAAGCGGGTGTCCAATCATTTGGCAATATCCGTCCTCACTACGATTGCCTGTGCAAAGGTACGAGTATGTATCTGCTATGGCCTTTGGCAGATTGCCAGACACTCTTCGAAGGCCTTCAACGTCCCAGCCACTCCGAACGACAATACCACTCCCTCGCGTCCGATGCGCAAGTGTTTCTCTGCTAAGAATGCCTCCAAACCTCGTTAACCTCAATTAGATTATACCCTGCAACTGATTTTGCAACAGTAACGGGCGCAAGGCTTCGATCGAAGTAGGCAACCATCATGGAGCCTACCCAAGCCAATTTCTGTCACCCTTACCAGCCTTATTCCATCCAGCTAGATTTTATGAGAGAACTCTATCGCTGCATAGAGGAGAGGAAGGTGGGAATCTTTGAATCTCCTACAGGCACTGGCAAGTCGTTGAGCTTGATCTGTGGTGCTTTGACCTGGCTCCGAGACCATGAACAACGGGCACTTCAAGGTCTGACGGATGGAGGTGAGCCGCTTGACTGGCTGTTAGAGGCTGAAAAAACCGCCCAACGTCGTGAGCTACTTCTTGAACGCGAGGAGCTTGAGTTGAGGCTTTCCAGAATCCGTAAAGAAGAAGCATCCCGCCGACAGCGTCAACACGACGCGAAAACTTCCAAGAAGCCTCGAACTAAGATTCCAAACGACGAGGGTAATGCTCCAGATGAGGATGAGTTTACGTTGGAGGACTACGACAGCGAGAGGGAAGAGACGAGCATTGCAAACTACTCAACCGCCGGCCTCTCGAGCTCAACTCAAGCCCTGCTCGACAAGCTACAAGGCCCAATGAGAACTAATGTTGAAGAACAAGAAGAAAAAGATCGACTTAAGATTATCTTTTGTTCGCGCACTCACTCTCAGCTCACACAATTCGTGAATGAGCTGCGCCGTGTCAAACCTCCTCCATCCCTTTCTTTAGAAGCTGCAGATTTCACACACAAGCCTTCGCTTGAGGAACGAGTTAAACATCTTGCTCTAGCCTCACGAAAAAATTTGTGCATAAACAGCAAAGTTGCAGGACTGTCGTCTGCCTTCGCAATCAACGAGCAATGTCTCGAACTGCAGAAGCCTGCCACTCCCAAAGACAAAAAATGTCCCTATATCCCTGCAAGAGACGATAAATCAAAAGTTGAAGATTTTCGAGACCGAGTTGTTGCAGAGGTTCGCGACATCGAAGATACGAGTCGTCTAGGCAGGGAAATGCAACTCTGTCCCTATTATGCTTCTCGAGCAGCCATAACCATGAGCGAGGTGCTCACGTTGCCCTATCCTCTCCTCCTACAACGGTCCGCCCGTGAAGCTCTGGGGGTCTCCGTGAAAAACAATGTTGTGATCATTGATGAGGCTCACAATCTTATGGATGCCATCGCAGACACCTTCTCCATCTCACTGCGTTTGAGCCAGCTCGAAGAAGGTGCTCGGCAAGTTACTGCTTACGCGGGTCGCTTCAAAAATCGCTTGAAAGGGAAAAATCGTGTGTATGTTATGCAAGTGATACGGTTGCTGAATTCGATGACCGACAGTCTGCGTGGCACGTTGCAAAAGACGACTTCAACTGAAGCAACTATAACGGCTGCACAACTTATGGCCGGGAAAGGCGTTGATCAGATCAAACCCCACAAACTCTTGCAATACCTACACGAAAGTAAGCTCTGCCACAAGGTTGAGGGATACTCCGAGATGCGACGAGACCACTCTGATTCGAATCAAGGCAAGGGTGCCTTGCTGCAGTTTCAAAACTTTCTGATAGTATTGATGAATCCGGACGACGAAGGACGATTCTTCATAAGCCGACATGATGACGAAGTTGTCGTCCGATACACGCTGCTCGACCCCAGAGAGCATTTTCGACAAATAGTTCAAGATGCTAGATCGGTCATTCTGGCAGGCGGCACCATGTCCCCCATGTCCGACTATTCGGATTATTTGTTCTCATATCTCGACAAAGATCGGCTGCGGACATTCAGCTTCGGCCATATAGTTCCCCCTTCTCACCTATTCGCTCAGGCCGTTGGGAGGGGACCTTCTGGCATTGAGTTCGATTTCAGGTACGAAATGCGTGGCTCCGAAAGAATGATAATTGAATTGGGGGACCTTGTTGTACGAGTATGCAGCATCGTGCCGGATGGGGTTGTGGTATTCTTCCCAAGCTACGATTATCTCGCACGAGTGGTTTCAATTTGGCAGCGCCTACCAGCTCCCCGGTCAGTAATGCAAGCGCTTGGTAACGTCAAGGCAACTTTCCAGGAATCCAAGTCAATAGCTGTCGATCAACTACTGCAGGAATACGCCGCCGCCGTGGATAGCGGGAGAGGGGGCCTGATGTTGTCAGTTGTGGGTGGAAAGCTTTCAGAGGGCATCAACTTCTCAGACAAACTCGGTCGGGCTGTAATTGCAGTTGGTCTTCCATTCCCAAATGCTAACGGAGCGGAATGGAGGGCCAAGATGGAACATATTGAGGGGATTCGATATGAGTACTGCAAAAGCCAGGGGAAGACGGAAGCAGAAAGCAGGGCCGAGGCGAAAAGTGCGAGCAGAGGGTACTACGAAAACACCTGCATGAGAGCTGTGAATCAAAGCATCGGACGAGTAATCCGGCACAGAAACGACTATGCTGCGATCTTGATGCTCGACAGACGGTTTTCAACAGAGAGGATATCTCGCAAGTTGCCTGCCTGGATACATGGAAGCATGAACAACAGCTTGCGGGACTGGTCAGACATAGAAAAGGGCGCAGAGGTCTTTTTCCGTGACAAGCGATGAACAAACCACTATCCCATGGCAAATCCACCTGCTGTTCAGCACACGCCGTGTTGGACATACCAACTTTACACGAAAGTGCGTATTTAAGACGAGGAGGACTATGTATCACCAAACCATCCGACATCATCCCCTTTTCGCCTAACACGATTCAAAATGTGCCGCTCGCAGATTCTTCAAGTACCAAATAGCAATGTTCTGTGTGACTAATATGATTATGGAGGTTCACGAAACTGACAGACACTACTTTGTCATATGAGGTGATCGAGTGTCATCTTGAGGATCCATCGATGCCGAAGCAGCCCACGGGCAAGAATATACAGAGATGGTATTCCGCCGACGCCAAAACCCGCAGGTCTCCCAACATTTTGACCTACTTACTGCCTCCGAACCAGCTGCTTATCCCACTCTTTGCCTTTGCGGCCTTTTCTTCCACCGTTTTATCGAACTTGTCGATGGCACTGTTGATCTGACTTCCAGTCTTCTGGCTAACCTCTCTTGCTTTTGCTTCGGCTTCGGTGAGTTTGGCTTTGGCGTCAGCAGACTAAATATTGTCAGTATCTCAATCTGCAGGATACGAGGATGCGGCTCACAGCTTGGTCAAACTTCTGGCCTGCTTGAGAAGCGATGGCCTCCCCTTTCTTCTCGGCTTCCTTTTCTCTTCCCGGGATTTCACTCTTTATCTGTGAGGAGAACTTGGAGGCATCGGCTATTCATAAGTTTAGTAAGTCTCAATGTCAAACGGGCGCACAGGCCTACCCTCGAGGTTCTTCTGAGCGACCTTGGGGTTGCCACCAGCGTTATAGAGATAGTACCCGACTCCGCCAGCTACCGCCAGGCCCGCAACAGTAAGTCCGCGGCTCGAAGACATGACGCCGAGACTCTGGGATGTGCTGAAGTGATTCAGGAACGGAGGATGTCTGGAAGTGAACTGCTCAATGGTGAGTGAGTCGAGGAATGACGATACTTAGAGAAGATGTGAGCTGGGCTAGGTACGAAACGAACCTCTGAAGCTATTGGTGAAGGTCAGCTCGGCGTTCAACAAGGGCTCGTAAAGGCAGTAGTGGTATGATTGCAGCTGCGCAGGCAATTAAACCTGGCATTGCAGGTGGTGCAGGTGGTCGGTGTCAGTGACATCATTGGCGGCATGGCGAAAATACGAGAATTCAATTCCCCGCGTCATCTGAAGACGCCAGCCACTCAGCTTTCTGTTCGCGTACGCCGACGACGTAAACACTGCACCGCCGCCCACTGCAGGTGCGCTCTTATACTTTCCCATAGAAAACCTGCCTACCAAGTCCGCAATAAACCTCTCCATAATCTAACGCATCACTTTATCATTTCCTACATACCATTAGCGCCCTG